GGGAGCCTGGGGATCCCTGGAGGCCCCTTCAGGCCGGGGTCTGGCTGAGTCTTACCAGATTGAACTGGGCCCAGCGAATCTCCTCAAAGAGCCTCCACTGGCCGTGTTTTTTTACAAGACACCTGCCCAGTCTAGGGTGGTAAATTTGTCACTGAAAACCTTTGTGGAGTAATTTGCAGGGAGTGCACCCCTCTTTATTCCAAGGCACAAATTCCTGTATGGCATTTCCACATCAGGATAATTATGTAAGTTCTCAGATAGAGCTGCATCAACATACCTCTGTTAGGTGACGTCTTGGCTTAAGCATTCCATCGTGTGAATCATCATGGTTGTACACTAATAAGTAGAAAGCATGTGTGACCTACTGCAATCCCAGAGGGGCCCTCAGAGGCTCCCTTCCAGCCACTGTTGCTGGCTGTGTGGCTGGAACATCGCTGCGGCTTTTGTGTCTTAGCTTTCCCTTTATGGACCAGAGCTAATTGTGGTAATCTCAGCCGAGTAAGAAGAATTACCTGCACACGCCTGTAAGCCACAGTCATCTGTGTGTTGTCTGAATTAGATGCTGAAGTGCCACACGGTTGTGGCTCACAGTTTTGCTTTTGTTTACCAATCTTAGCTCAAAATCACTTTATTGATTACTTAAAAACATTGGGCAGTTATAGAAAACTATTGACATTTTGAAAGTGTACCGCAGTATATCTCAATTTCTGAGAGTCTGGTGTCACTAAAGTTGTCATTAGCTAAGCTAAGAGTGACACAATACATCATGATGGTTAAAGAGTGTGTGCCCTGGGTTCAAATCCTGACACTGCCATTGACTAGCTGGGTGATTTTGGACAAGTTACTCAACTTCCCCATTACTCTGTTTCTTCACCTGTGAGTCAGGGATGACAGTGGTGGTGGTGAAGACAGTCCCGGTCTCCTTTGTTGGGGAGATGAAGTAAGTTGGTTCCTGCATCTTCCTTAGAGTAGTACCTGACACATAGTAAGGACTTACTGCAAAAATATTGAGTGTCTGCCATGTGTCAGGCTCTGGGATCCAGCAGGGACTTTTTTGTTGCGAGTACATTCTAGTGGGGAAAGGCAGACAAAAAATAAATATATAATACGTCAGCTCGTGAGAGTTTTAGAAAAAATAAAGTTTTAGAAAAAATAAAAAAGCAAGTAAGGTGGGAGAGGGAGAGAGAGGAGGTGAGGCATAGGGTGGTTGGGGAGGCTGCCCTCGGAACAGTGAGGTTTGAAAAGATGCCTAGAGGGAGGGAGAGAGTCATTTGGAAGTCTGGAAGAAGTTGCTGGCAGAGGGAACTACAAGGGCAAAGTCCCCAGGGTGAAGTATATGAAGAATGTGTTGGGTGCAGTTGGGGTGCAGTGACCGAAGAGATAAGTAACTAGAAATGGAACAGGCCACGTAGACCATGTGAGGATTGGCTTTTACTCAGGAGAGCTGGGAAGACATTGGAGGTTTCTCCGCAAAGGAGAGACATAGTTTGCCTTCTGTTGTAGATGCATCCCTCTGGCTTCTGTGTGGACTGGCCAGCCTTTGTGGGGAGGTTGGTGTGTGGGAGGCAGGGCAGAAGTAGGCCTCACGAAGCTCCTGCACCAGTCCAAGCGAGATATAATGGTGGTGGTGACACTGCGGAGGTGGTGAAGGTGTGAGAAGCCGTGGGCCCTTGGTAAGTCCTAGCTGTTGTCATTAGGTAGCTTTGAGAGTTCCTATAGACTTCTAAGCCTCAGTTTCCTCAACCACAAAATTAAGGGGTTGGGCTCATTCATCATGCCTTCTTGGCTCTTACAAAGTTCTGGTTTCTGAAAAGCTGTGTAAGTAGCAGCTACATTTAAATGGGTTGAGAGAAGGTGCTGCTGAATAAAAATAATATTGGGTTTAATCTTTTGATAAGTGGTTTTGTGGGGATGAAGAATAACCCTTTGATTTATAAATGGAGTTGAATATATTTGGATTGCTTCCGATGAGTTTCTTACATTTTGAGAATGTAAAGACTAGGAAAGTACTGAACCTACCCAGAATACTTTAACATGGAAAATAGTCTTTTATTCTAAAAATGCTCCATTCCTTCTCAATCTATAGAATGGTTCATCTTGAATATGGAGAACAGGAAGAAAACCTAAATGAAATTTTTGTCATAATTAAAGCTGAGCAGAGTCAAACTACCCCTTACAGGGAAAAGTCATTAGCAAATCAATGAGTTATAGAGCTTAAAGACATTTTTTTTCAGTTGTGTCGTGAAGGATAGACAAACTTTGCTCTTCGCTTCAATTACGGGCATTTGTGTCTAAAAAACATTCACCAGGATTGTGGTGCTTTTATGAAATGCAACAGTAAAATTTCAAGATGGGTTGTGTTACTACTGGACACCCCTGAAAAGGCTAAAGAAGGGGAAAGGCAGTCAAACAGATGATTAGAACTAAAAGGGAAGTACGAACAGGCTTTCCAAGATAGACTTTGCCAAATGACCTTCCCAGGTGAAAAGAGATCACTTCCTTTTTCCTTGTTATTTCATGTTTTTTTTCAAATGTATACATGCAGAATTTCTTATATTGGGAGGAGAATACAGCACTGACATCAGTTCAGCAGCCATTGTAAGAGTATTGCTACGTGCTACGACACCAGGGACCAAAAAAGAGATATTTGAAAATGCGCAAGTCTGTCCTCGAGGAGCTTACAACTCACTCGGGGGACCAAGGCAGAAGGTAGTGGCGGGTAATAGAATAAAGGCCTCAGACCTATAGCCCGAGCACTGGGGGTGGGGGAGGGGGTACTGCCATTTGGAGGATTAAGGCAGCTTTCTGAAGGAGGCAGCATATCTCTGACCACATGCATACCCCACTTCCATAATCCCACAAAAGCAAGTCTTTGAAGACCTCATTGCAGCTCTGTTCATTGTCTGAATTCTAAACCTACTCCTCTCTTGACCTGGCAACCGGCTGAACCCTGTTCCCAGAGGCTGCTTTTTGTGTCTTGCCCTGGTCCAGGCAGACTTGTGTCTCCTTCCCTTGTACTGTCACTGTTTTCTCAGGCTTCCGCTGGGCCCTGATCCCCTTAGCCTGACTTTGACTTTCAGACCACTTGCTTGCACATTGGCGGGAGCTGGGGTTCTCAACCTCAGCCCTACTGACATTGTAGGCTGGGAAGTTCTTTGTTGTGTGGGGCTGGCCTGTACATTATGGGATGTTGTGCACTAGATGCCAGTAGTATCCCCCTTCCCAGTATTACAGCCAAAAAAAAGTCCTCAGACACTAACAAAGGCTGGGAGGAGGGCGAAGAACCAGTTTATGTAGAAGGTGCTTTAAAATTCCTGTTATTCATGTATATATATATAACATTAAATTTATCCAATCTAAT